TTGACGTTGAAGGGAGCGAAACAAATCAACTTGTTCGCCGACCCACCGGCCAATACGGCGATCCCATGGCGAGGGCGGAAAACAGCGAGGGTATCAGAGCATTGGACTCTTGGCCTGAGGAGGGAACATCGACCTGTTCTCCGGAAAAAGCATCAGCTCCAAGTACCACTAACGACCGTCTCGGGGAAAAGTTCGAGTTCTGTATGTCAGGTGTGAGGAGGTCCCTTCATGGGGGTTCCATCCAAAGAAGCCGAGTATTCGGTCCCAAGTCACTGCTCCCGAAGTGTGGGTGCATTCCTTCGTCCAACGCAAAGACGAAATTTCCGGCGTCTTCCACTGACCAGGTGGCACTCACGCCTGCGTGGAAGCGAATCCTGATGGAGCGGAAAACGGTATTCGTAATGAGTCTGACCCAAAAGGCAAGAGGCGTGTCCGCTGTTTGCCTCTCTGATTCAACAACTTGCCGAGTTGTGCGTTTGTGGGCGCCCTCATTGAATTACAGAGCGAGCCTCATCACAATACACAAGTTCTTGTGGAATTTCTGGGCAATGAGCAGGAAGCGGTGCTCAATCTGACCGCCGCCGCGCCGAGGAGAGCGATCGAAGGTGGTTCATTGTAAAGAACAGACGATCATCGGCGACGATCCCTGACAATTATTTCAGACCTTCCGGGGTTCGTGAGGATGGAATCATTCACGGGCGACTCAGAATCAGCAACATCCATGGATTTGAGTCGGGATTCCGTGAGAACTTTGCAAAACTCCCTTGGAAGTCCGCTGGGGCCCCCTCGAGTGTCTTGAAGGTCTTGCACTCCTGCCTAAGGACTTCAGCGGGCTTTCCGCAGGACTTCCGGGATTAGGTCGTATCCGGCACCTCTGATTTGAGGGGGAATCGATTGAAATTCTGTCAGGATATTCGCTGCGCCCGCTAGGGCTGTCCCCGCGACACTAGGAGAAGATGTCGGCGAACTGTGTTATATCAGAAGTCCACCGTCGACGGGAGTCTTGAGCCCAGGGCTCTGGGAGCCTCGGATGCGAAATGTTGCTCATCGGAGCGGATTCAACGGCGAGCCGAGTTTTCTACCTTTTGGGGGAGAATGACAAGACGGAGAGAGCCTCCGCTCCCCGAGTGCTGTACTTTCCCTGTTGCAGGACTAGACGATGTGATCAGGAGCACAGAGGCAAGAGGATCGAGAAAGTAAGCAGCTGAGCCGGACGCAAGAGTGGGCACCAGCTACTCACTCAGAGGAAGACTCTAGCCCGGAGGATGCTGCCCCCTCATACGGGAGAGTGAGCGAGGGGAGGACCTCGGCACGAGCGATCCAGGCCCCAATGAATTTCAACAGTTCAAGAATGTTTTCGCTTTAGGGGGTAGCCGCCTCGGAAGATTACACAGTTTCTCTGCACATCTCTACTTGAGGTCTGATTCGTTTCACTCTGCCACCAGACTAACCGTCGTTTTCCCGGCCTTATGATAAATGCGTCGGTCGTTGTCTCGTCGCCCGACCCGATCAGTCCTGCTGCAGCTGCCGCCGACCGAGCAGCCTGTTGCTGGGATCCGTCTGCGCGGCCGCATGCCCTCTGGGATGCTCTATTCCAAACAATTCAGCATTCAGACTGTTGTGTGCAATGATCCTTTCGCTTTTGACAGACTGCTCCAACAGGAAAAACAGTAGCCGCCGCCGCCGCCGTCACTGGAGCAGCTTCAACGAAGCGACGGCGACGTCAACAATTGATGTCGAGTCCTCATTTTTCTTCAGAAGTCTCCTCCTTTCAAGTCGGTGACGTTCTCGAGCGACGATCGGTCGCTATATCGCTTGCCGAACATGGGCGCCATGGGTCGGCAGCCGCTCTGGAAAGAAAAGCGAATATTAGCCTTGAAGTCGCATCTACTTCTCCGAATAATCGGATAGCCCCTCACGGTGGAATGAACTAGATAGAGAGAGAGGGGAAATCAGACCGGGACGGTAAGCGGAAGCCGACGAGTAAATTGTGAGGGCGGGAGTGGTTAAGGAACAACAACAAAGTAAAGTTGTTCCGGAAATGCTAACTGAAGCGAAGGGAGCAGCAGAGGTAGAGGCTCTCGTTCGTTTACTCTGTCACTTTGTCGTTCGTCTGTGTTCCTCACTCCGACGACCGTTCAAACTAGTCGCTTTCGGTTTCGAAAGCAACCGTCTTCATCGCCTCACCAACTCGAACGTCAACGTTTCGGGACAACGGTGGCCAAACAATACTGCGAGCGAGTCCATGGATTCCTCTCGACGTCACGGATGACGTGCCTCAGCGCAGACTCTAAGCTCAAATCGTACGATACAAGCTGTGATCGTCGTGATCTTCACTAGGACAATCGGCACGACAGAAGAATTGCACACATGTATGCCTCCGAGCTGAAGGAACAGCTGATTCGGATGCTCGTTTCCCGAATATCGTTCGATGGCTCAGATATCGGCGGGCATAACATTCACCGGCATCCACGAAATACGGAGTCGCCGAAACCGACCGATAAATCCGTCCACGAAACGCTAAGGATTCGTCAGTTGCCAATCCATGGAACGATCCCGATCTCTCTCACTCAGGGGTTTTCCGTGCGGCCCTGAAATCTTGTGTCGGCGGCGAGCGATAATGATTTGTTCGGAACGACTCGTGCCGAGTACTCTCGCAGACAATGCCGATTGAGGGCGATGGTGACGATGAATCACTCCTGATCGCAACACGCTAATGACGCTCCGAACGGCGGAACGAGGCTATTGCGGCATGAGCAACGAAGAAAAATAGAAGGTGTGAAGGTAACCGCCGCCGCCGCCGCCGCCGCCGCGAGAGCAAGCGGGAGATTGAAAACGTGCCCGGGGAGGACGAGCACGATAAGATTGACGGTCGCTCTGAACTTTCTGCACCTGAACGTCCTCGAGTGTAACTCGATAGACTCGGTCATACTCGTAACGATTCACAATGATGCGCAATAATTCATCTTGATAACGGTGGAAGATGCGCTCGCGGTGATTCGCCGCACCGTATGCATTGTCCGAGTCTCCGGAGTCTCTGGAGAGGACGGACGGACGGAGTGACGTCGCTTGATAATTTGTTCCCGCAGCCGCTGACGTTCCCGCCGCTCGAGCAGCAATGTCCGCGTAGCTGAGCTCAAGTGCAATGCCGAAAGCATCCGTCCGAAGGACAAATACCTACCTGCACAGAACATGCTCTCGTCCATTACTTACCGCTGCTCGGAGTCTCTCCGGGGATTTTAGGGCGGACGGGCGGGCGGACGGGTTGTTGGTTGCCCGTTCTGAAAGAAACCACGCTGGCCGCATCAACGAGTTCACTCGTTCGCGGAAGAAGAACTCCTCATGAATTTCTTGTTCGTTCATCTTTTCTCTCCGGCTTGCTCTCGTAGCTGTTTCGCGACGCCACCGCTGATGCTGTGACAGTGGTGTGTTGCTGTTCACGCCGCATGCTCCTCAATGGTCGCTTCCATTCGTCGACAGAGATTTCCCTTGAAGAACGGGTGTCGCTTTCCTGTGCTCTCATCCACTTGGCCGAAGGTTCTCTCGCGCTTTCTTCTATCATGCGTTAGACGGCTCGAGTGAAGGAGACGAGCCAACCAACCAACCAGCCAGCAAGCCGACTGACGCTCGGTCTCAGCAATAAAGCAGCAACATCTTCTCCTTGTGAGACGTTCTCTGTGCTTCCGAGGCCGTCTGTCTGTTCTTCGGCTCGTTCCTTCACTCGCCTGCTCGTCAAGTCGCAGCGAGCCTCCAACCAACCAACCAACCAACCAAGCAACCAGTCGTGCGTCTTCACTTGACCCTTGTGACGTCGTCGGTGACGGACGCTGCAGCGCGGCGCAGGCACTAGGGAGGGTCTCTCTTGACTCACCTCGGCTCCATTCGAAGAAGCCGTGTCTTAGCGTCCGGCCGCGAATTAATCGTCTGGCTGCTGCCAGCAGCAACTCGCTCCGCCATTCAATCTTGCTTCAAGCTATCTGACCGAGTGAGCGGAGCAAAGCCTCGTCTCAGAGAATTCGACTTCGTAGAATTATTCTCGTCGCAACGCTCGTCGTCGGCGGCTCAAGAGGACGCATCCTCTCCGAGTCCGCGGGGAAAATCAGGCGAATGTTCCGATCAGCGATTGGAGGCTTCGATCCTCGATGCGTAGGCGCGTCCCCGGTAATTATTCTCCCGGCTCAGAATGTCGTCGCCAAGGAGGGAAATGTTCTGAGAATAGCCTCCAGGAGACGGGAGTTGGTGACGGAGCGTGGGGGTGAATCTCGAACGATTTAGACGAAATTCGAGCCTGATTGTGTGGTAGCGTCCTCTTCGGAGCCACTTTTCCGCTTCCTTCTTGCGTGGGCTTCATGGTATTCACCCGCGGAAGCAGGCGGGCGGTAGGTCGCTGGGTTGGCCGTTCGACCGGGCCGTCTGCTCCCGCCGTCGGTTCTTCTTCTCCGTGCCTTCATTCTTTTCTTCCTTCTCGTTCGGGACGAGTAGGACAAATTGACTCAACACCCGCGGATTCTTCCTGCCGGGACGGAAAGGCTGCCTGTCGGTCCGTCAGTCCGTTCCGCCTACTCTTTCTTTCTCGTGCGCTCCACCAAACCGCGGAGTTTTCGCTTCCTCGGCTTAAGCTCTCCCGGGAGAGATGTCCCTCTTCATATTCCCTCCTCAGATTTCGCTCCCGGCCCCGTCGCTGCTGCTGCGAGGGCCAAGTGAAAACAAGCGTAAATTTATGCAGCAAGGAGAGACGTCTTCGTTATTAAACATTTCTGATTTTCGGACCCTCGCGTGGAGCACTTGCCGCAAACGATGCGGCGGAAGGCTTCAGGAAGTGCCACTCGTAACTCCTGCACTTGGCTGCTGTGACTCCTTTTATGCGATACCGAGCCGTCGAAAACGTCCGTGAATGTCCTGACGCTGGCAGTAGCCGATGTTCTTCCGAGGTCGAAAGTGAGACAGGAATCTAAGATGGGGCTTTTGCGATTCCAGGGACCCTGACATCGTCATACCCCGTCGATAGAGGACCGACATTCGTTTTGGAGCCGTCTTCTTCGATGGAATTCTCATCTGACACGGGCGCCGTGGTCCCATGCAGCGCTCAAGGACAACCAACGCCTCAGATCCGCTGGGAGAAAAAGGATGGCTCGCCCGCTGTTCCCATACCGGGAGTTCGAGACATACGGCCGGACGGGTCTCTGTTATTCCATCAGTTCAGTGTGTCCCAGTTTCGACCCGACGTCCACTCGACCGGCTACCGATGCATCGCCTACAACCACGTAGGCCTCATTAAGAGTCGATTGGTGCAGATAAAAGGAGGTGAGTGTTCCCCTCGAACTTCTAGACATCAAGCTCCTCATAAGCGAACAAATGCCTACAATGGAACGAGGAATCCCACTTGTAGTTTGTGAAGATCCTTCCGAACCTTCCCCGCTATACCCCACACTGAAATGCACGAGCTCTCGTCATCTGAACACTGTATTATTATTATTGACGTCGCTGTGCCGTAGGAGCTGACTTCGCCATCGTGACGTCGACGGATCTCGCGTCCGGTTCCCCGAACACATGCTCTGAAACTACGAAAGCGATTGCACACGCTTACGAGCGGCACGTAGCCGCGAATTCACAACGATTGCCCTGTTATTGGTAGCAGGAACCATACCGTGGCGATCCTCGCGGCGCGTCTACTATTGCGCAGAACGATTCTGAACGAGAATTCGACGAAAGCTCTGTTTCCAATCGAACAGGACGAACGGGAACGGCCGGATGCTGCGAGCCCCATCATTTTTATTGGCTCAGTCAGCGATAACGCCCAGAGCAGGATTGACGTAAGGGAGACGCGTTTCTTGACATCTTTGTTTAGAAGCACCTCCGCACCTAGAACGAGCGGGTGAGCGAACGGATGGACGGACGGACGAAGCTACGTATCAGAGCAGCGAGCGAAGCTCCGGCTCTCGTATGTCGACGCGAGCTGGAGGATCGATATGACGATACTGAAATGCCTCGCTGACAGCCCGTAGCTGCTGCACGTCGGAGGCCTCCCCAACGGTTGTAGAAGAGCGAGCCTCGCCATCCGAGCATCGCATTGACAACTTCTAACAACAAGTCTCTTGGAGGAACGGGAGCGGGAGAGGATGATAGATGTAGACAAAGTTCGCGAGTTCACACTGCAGCGAAAGTTCCCTCACGCAAATTTATGTACGTCATCGTTGTTGTTCTGAACATTGGCTGCTACGACGAGTTCGTACTCGCGAGCAGTATCCCGATTACGAGCGTCTTCGAGATGAGGGTCTAGCGAAGATCCCTGCTGCATCGAAGAGATTATTAGCAGAATGGAAACGTCCTCCCGTCGCCATATCCTGCGTCGCCTCGGACGGAGGGACCCTTGCAGCTTTTTCGTCGAGTGTTCCTCGCAATCGATGCTCGCGATGCGTTGGACATCCAAGATAACGTCGCGCTAATAAATAAATGCGTTAAGCTCGCTGCCTGTGCGCCAGTGCGTCGTCGCTTCTAGGTACAAAGTCTGCCTTGTTATCTGTTTACCCTCGCTGTCAGTTTATGAAGAACGAGCGACGGCGGCGGCGGCAGCAGCAGCATCGTTAAGGCGTGACTCTACAGCGTTGCGAATTCGGTGACTGTTCGGTGACTCTCGGCATTTCTTCGCGACACAGCTTATGACTACGGCAGTGGGAATCTTCCGGAGACGCCCTGTGTTTAGCTCTCCTCTCGCCGATCTTCCGCGAGAACGAGACCGACGATCTCGGTCACAGCGTTGACAATGCCAACGGTCCGTCGAATCTCGAGACCGTTTCCGCCAGTACGAAGCTTCGGCCCTCGAAATCTTCAGGAGGCATTTCGGGAGACTCGCGTGATCATCCTGATCAACTTCTGGCTCATCGTCAGACGGATGCTTTCCCATCCGAAGAATTATTCGTTCGGAGAGACGCCCCCGCTTGCCTTACCGGATTCGCTCTTGATTCTTCCGGCCGCAGTCAAACACGCTGCTTGCGTGGGGCTCTCTTTCGCTTCAGCTTCCGAAGTCGACGAAGTCGTTGCTCCTCCGTGCTCGTCCGTAACAACACAGGGGAGGGACGAAAAGAACGAGCAAGGAATGTGTGTACAAGAGCTTAGCGCTTTTCCGTCTGCTGCCATCGGATGAGGACGCTCCGCACGCGTTCAGAAGCGCTTTTCTCCCTGCAGCACCCGTCCGCTGCCGTCGACCGTTTGTTCGTGAGCTTGCCCACGAGCTCGCGGTGCGGAGTGTGTTACGAAATGAAAACAAGTCCAGACTTAGCCAGCCAGCCGTCCGAGCGACCCAACGACAGCGGCATGCGGACGACAGAAGTACAGCGAAGTTTTCCCCGTGGACCAGAGGAGCCTGCAGTGGTTTTAGTTAATCCTTAGCCTCTAGCCGTCTATGTTGTTTTCGGTGTTGCCGACGTCGCCGTTCTCGTTGTTGTCGCTCCCGGCGAGGCGTTTTCCCGTCGAGAGAGACCACGAGAGGAATCGGGCGTGTCGGAGAGAGGGAGGATCAAGAGCGGAACTTCAAACACGTCGGAACTTTCCGCAGATCAATTTGAAACTGAGTCGGTTCAGACGGACTCTGGCTTGGCTCGACGCAGTCGATGGAGGGGCGTTAATCTTGATGATCCCTCTGAGCGAACTGAAATCGATGTATTTATTTCCCGGTGGTGGCCGACCCGTGCCAGCAATAATTGAGCTCCCGGTATCTCAGCTTATTCTCTCAATATTCTTTTGCCGCGCACGACGGTCGCAACTCTTCGACCAGGGAAGGACAACGTCGATGACGTTGACGGCGAGTTATGGTCGCATCTGAGTCAGCACCCTTCTTGCAAATTGCGAGACTTTTGCAAAGTGTACGGAGCGTGCAACGAGGCTGTTCGCACCGCTCGCCGCTTCCGTGGCTCGTCGCGGGTGCCGTGGATGCCGCGGACGACGACGACGACACGTTCCCGTTGTCAACGTCAACACCGCGAGCAACAGTCACGCGGCCGACAGGGCGACGACTATCATCAGCAGTAGTCGACAACAGCGAGAGAAGAAAAGAGCACGCGTTAGGCTCAGGCACGCGGCGGAAAGATCGTGGCAACGAGCGAGCGGGCCACGGAGAGAAGGGAACTAATTTGATTTCAGGCGGTAGCGTTTTTTGAGCGATAATGGCCTTCCCCAAGGAAATAACCTCGGCGTAAAGTCGACAACCAGATGATGTCGCATTAAACGAAGCGAAAGCGGGAGCGGGCTGCATGCGAGTGAGCAGTTTTCGCTCAAAACAGTCGATGGGATCTTCTTCGAACGGGAAACATTCGTTTTTCTATCGCTGCTTCGATGAGATTCGCCCCATTATTCCCCGGAAGTCCGATCGCGGTGCTGAATTTCGAGCGAGCGGCGAGTGGAGCACCAACGATGCTCAGCCGGTCTCCCGTGCAGATCTTACTCCGATATCGGCTATTGACGATCGTCTTTCAATGAAACAAAGATCGATCATATTATCCTGTTTTCTTGACGTAGATTTTCGCTGACCCATATGAATCAATTTTTCAACGCCGCAACCAGCTGGAGCCGGCCGACGAAAGGAGAGACAGCCCCCCCCGTCCGACCGGTCACTCACGCGTTCAACACCAGTGTTCTTCGCGCCCGCAATGTGTCATTTGTCTCTCGGAGGAGAGGTCTCGGAGGAGAGATAATTACACCTCAAAATCACTACCATGCCATCTTAGGATGTCGTCGACAGGCTCTCCCGCGGAAAACCCGCCACGGCTCGCTTCGCCTTTTTGTTCAATACGGAGGAATTCCATGTCTCGACGAGGGGAGGTCGGAGCGCGTTGATGATTCTCACCGATCTTTTTCTTCCGACACGTCGATGCCGCCGCACCGACTCGCTCCCAAGTTGTTTATCGACTCATATTCAATGCTCATGCTCTTGGGAATTCGTCTCGACCGATGGTTCCCAGCCAAGCAACTTCCTGTTCGAATGAGTCTGTGTGATCTGTAATTCGAAAGATGAGGCACAACGATATTTGCTCCGCACGTCGATTCGCTTGGTATGCTGGTCGCTCCCGGTGCGGCCTCATCCGACGCCGCCGTATCGAGCTCTCAAGGAAAACGGACAAGATATACTGCCGACATCATGTCTAGAATGACCGAAACTACCGAGAACATAAACGTGGACGGCCGTCTACAGAGCGATCTACGCAAATGTAAGAGCTGACTGGGCAATCCACGGCTTAGGCAGAGTGGCGGTCGGTCAGACCCCTTCCCCAGCTCCGACGGGACTAGCTCATCTGGAACACTGAGTGCGTTTAGTCTCTCGCTCATCAACATACAATGCCTCACGCAGTGTATTACACATCGCTCACCGACGACTAGTGCGCGTTTCATCTCGAGACCCCATCGGTGTTGTCGGATCAACTCCATGCCGGAAGTTGAGGAATTCGGCTGCTGAGGAGCAGTCTTGGATACTCCATCCGACCTCGACCCATCTTTGACAAATTATTGTCAATGACAATGGATTGCTATTCGACTGGAGAATTCTGCCGCATGGCCCAGCGCGTGTCCCCGACAAATATCGCACTCACGTATTACCTATCCAGCAGCTCAAGATGAACTTGCAGCCAGCGGCGACGCGGCGAGCTCCCTCCATCGCGTCAGAGGGAAGCTCCCGGGATCCATGAGCAGTACTTGTTATCGTGAATGTCCCAGAATCGGAAGCCGGGGAATCTCTGAGGGGTTCAGGAAATCCGTTATGGGGATGAGTCGTTCCGACAACCTGTGCGGAGAATTGTTTTAGACTAAAATAAGCATAATTTCTCCCGACTGCTTGTGTTCCTTCCCAGCAGTCTTTTCCGCCACAGTAGCGGCTGTGGGAGACGTCGTCGGCGATAATTTTCCATTTTTCTCGCGCTGTGCGAGACAGCAGCTAAGCACCCGATCGAGCGACCAGGCAAGCAAACCGTGAAGCTTCTGCATTCCCGACTTACCAGGGACCTATGGGAGGTCCGACACAGCGCGGTACCACAGCTGTTCATCGTACGAACGTTTCTTGCTCAGAAAAATCGCGGATAGCCGGGAATTACGCTGAGGAGGGAACATTAGGGGAGAGGTCGGATCTTTCGCTATACCGATTCGCGACGGAACGCTCTATGTCAATGTTTTTGGCGAATTCACGCCAACGTCGCATGTTTGGTGTTCCGATCCATGGGAGCTGCAATCCATGACTAGGTACCTAAATCTGTGAGAGTCTTGAGCGGAGAAGACCGAGCCACTGGTTGATCCTCGGGAGATTTATAGAGAGGGGGTTTAATAGTAACCCTTGAACGTGACCTTAAGATAATAGGACGATAGCTGAAAGAGACGACTCTACTAACCGTTACTGTTAAGACCTACCGACAAGCGTCCGGCGGGCAAGACGACTTGGGAACGCCGACGCAGCGACCGTCCGACCAACGAGCAATAAACACTTCATGCACAAATAGGTCTCCCGGCTGATAGGTCGCTTCTCTGTTTACGCTTCTGTCACTCCATCTTCCTCGTTTTCGGGTTGCCCTCCGACCGCCACGATGTGAATGCAGCAGCTTCGAGCCGGTCCGCCACCAGAGCACCGATCGGAAACCGCGAGAGCTCGACACGGGAGCCTCTGCTTGATGGCCTCTTATTATCTGGCAAGTTCCGCTCTGACTGGCTCCGGCTGTAACTTGAAAGTGTGATAAGAGCAGGAAGTTCTGGAGTGACTCCGATAACGCTCGAGTCGCAACTGCGAATGAATTCTCTTGCCACGCGCCAAACATTCGCGATGTGCCTCATTCGTCGGGATACCAAGCGCAGCGCGCGGCTTGGCAGGCGACGTGTTTTGAGCTGGGACATTTTTGCATGAGGGAACTGCAAACCCCGAAATACACGGGGAGAAGGCTGGGGACGAATGCGTACCAACGAGAGCTCTCGTCTAGTATTCGTTGTCTCTCTTATCTTTCTTTCATTTCCATTTGTTACCCAATGGTAAACAATCCTAGGGAAAAACACACGAGCGTGCAAAGGCGCGCCTCGGTCGCCTGGCCGGCCGGCTGGCCGGCGGGACGACTCGACGGGCGCGCCCTTCGGGAGGACGAGAAGCGGCTGAGAAGAGGGAGAAAGTGACGTCTGTCGAGCTCTCGTCCGGGAAATGGATAAAAGTTGATGCGGTCGACTGGCGCGGACTCCATGAATTCATGCTCAGTCTAACTGAGATTGTGATAACGGAGAACAGCGACGTCCCGTTCGGGATATGGAATCATTTGTAGCATAAGACAGGCTCAATCGTCGTCAGCGACAATCACTGCGTTGGCGGGGAGGGGCTGGGAGCTGCGGCGATGTCTGCATTCGGACGTCGCTGGTGTATACCGATAGATAGACGGCCGAGTGAGACAGACGGGCGGGCTGAGCGAGGCAAGGTAGAAAGTGGCGAGGCAAATTTGAGCCAAGTAAGCAAGCAACTCGGCAGATCGCTGAGTAGACGAACGCGGTGACGAGTACGAGATCGTGACTCAGAGAGTGATAAATTGAGCTCCGTCTCCCACCGCATTGCGGGCAACGAACAGCCGGCGAAGAGCAAACAAAGTGCGGGAAAATGGAGGCCATGTCAAGCCAGCTGGAGATGATATCCGGGAGTTCTTTTCTTTCCCGCTTGCGTCGCAGATCCGCGATGACTTAGATCTGCTCGATACCCAGGTGATGATTACAAACATATGTACAATCAGGATCGAAGGTGAAATCGGCTAATCAAACGAAGTTCTCAGTCGGCATGGGCTGCAACTTCGCCCCCAGCGGATCCGGCGAAATACGCGCTGGACAGGTCTCGCAGCGACGATAATCACGTCAAAATGTTTAATGCTCTCTTCTATCTTGAGTCGGTTGTTCGTTCATTCGCTCGCTCACCCCTCCGTTCGTGCTACCTACCTATTTCCGCCTCGATTGACGCCTAAGGAAAAAGAGATTTTTGAATTTCAAATTACGCCCCCCCCCTCCTGCGCGAAGCGTTCGACTGCTCGTAGTGTCCGTTCGTCGGTCTGTCCATCTTTATTTCGGTCGATTGGTCCCGGTGACGACAGTGCGCCGACGGAGCAAACGGGGAATCCGAGTAAAGGTTTTTCGACGGCTGGCGGAGCAGGAGAACTCTTGCGAGGCTTTTTCCTACCCCGGCGCTACCGGTCGAAGTTGACGGTGGAAAAGGAACAAGTTCCCGCTCGGAATTCTCGTTCGGACTGTCTGTCTGCTTACCGCTCACTCAGTCAGATGGCCCGCTTGAGGTCTGAAAATCGGTACTTAGAGAGACATTGAAGTGGAACTTGAGCGGCGGCAGCGGGGTAAGTGCAATATGGCGGTCCGCGCTCCTTCTCGAACGCTCGCCGCCGCCGTCACCATCGTCGCGGTTCATATGTGTAGTATCGAGCGAGCCGAAAGCTCAAGAGAGACGAACTTTGCGAACTTTGTTTCGGAGGGCCCCTGTTTTTCTTCGGCGTTTCTCCCTTCGCCCTCCGCGACGAGATCGGTAGCTATGGCGAAGTCGACGTTGGTTCTGTGGGCGAGCGAGACGGTCCATGTGATTGAATTTCTCAACAAATTCATCTATCCGACTCCCCGGTTGTCGGTCGGCCGCCCGAGTCGGCGGACAGACAGCGAGTCTCGAACAAACAAAGAAGAATCGGACGGACAACCGCACGGAGATGTCAGTCAGCGTATCCGGCGAGGGTTTGTTATCTTCGAGGCGGCTTAAATGGCAACCGCATCGTTCTTTCGCCGGTACCCCCTCAATACGGGCGGCGAGCACGACGACGACACAAGGGCAAAAGCAATCTACTTCTACAACTAGTCCTTGATTTGGTTGCTCGCATAACGCCGCCGGCTGCCCGCCGGCAGGCCGCTCCGCCCGTGGGTCGGTCAATTGATGGGTCGGGCAGGCCGAACGACAAGCCGCCGCCGTCGACGACTGAGCAAACACCTAGGCAAGATGAATCTTCAAAAGGCAAACAGTTCGGAGGAAACAGAGCTCATTCGACGGAGTACTGGCGGTTGAGTATCCTGCAGTGGTCGCCGAGGGGAAGACGTAATTTTCAATTTTGTTGCGGGCCTAGGGTCGATCTTCGCTCTCGGTTGGAGTCCAGAGCCGATTCCGGGGTGATCGATTGCTCGACTCGCGCGATCAGGAATCTCGGTTGCGTCAGCCCTGAGGTTTTTGGAGGATGAGACGGGTTTTTCCGAAGGGTCCTGCGAGGGAATGCTCCTCGCTGCGAAGTTTATTTATACGTTGCTGGAGATCTTTTCTCTCTAGCGGGAAGAGTGAACAGATTCAGAGACGGGCGTAGGAGGCAAGCATCCAATGTGTGTTGTTGGGGAGCGTGGAAGAAAGAAAAAGAGGTGTGTGGAGGACGTTGAACAGATTGCAGTGACTCTTCTTCTACGCAGCGCCCTTCAGAGAAATCGGACTGTAGGCGAACCTTGGAGTAAATGGCCTGGCGTCTCCGGCTGTCAGACGAGAAGGAAACGGAAGATCCCGAAGGGAGGATAAATGGGAAGAGAAGGAATCGAGGGACACAGACCCGAATAGGATCAGGTTTCCCGGCTTGATCTCATTCAATTGTTGAGCAAAAATAAATCCCCTGAATTTTTCATCGTCTCGGCACTCTCAGACAGCTGCGTTCCGAGGGTATGAGTTGTTGCATTTCGGAGCCGACGCGAGCTCGTACCGGGATGAAGCGGAGGCCGGAGAAAGAGAGCCACTTAATCCCATCGTATCGAAACTACCGAATTGAATATTGTCAACTCGTCGAGCGTTCAGCGAGTAAGATCTAATTTTCTTTCAGTGGTTGCTCACAAGTTTAGCGCGTCCGTTTTCGACGCATATGCCGTCAGAGGGAATTCCGCTCTACTACGATGCCATATACCTGCCAACGTGCGAGATTTCGTGCGAGTTTCGTCGTGGACGCGACAAGACGGTGTAACTGTTGGAACTCTTGGGGAATCAGGTAATTATTATCATACGATCAGGAGCGACGTTCCCGTCAGAGGTCTTCGTGCAGAGCCCCCTTGTACCGAGCACCTAGTTGGGAATCATTGGATTATCTCTCGTTCAAGAAGTTACGGAGCCGTGATGAATTGACTTTTGTTCCAGCGCTGGACAAAAGATACATCATGCTCTCGTCAGGAGAGCTTTTGATCCGATCTGCGAAGCCTGCAGACTCGACGCACAGCTTTAGATGTACGCTCCACAACGTGCTCACAGGTCAGAGCACCGTCAGTCAAAGTGCTGGGAAGGTCATCGTAACAGGTGAGTACGCGACGTCAATGACGGCGGTGAGTCCACCGTCGACACAAACGCTGCATAAAACACCTAGAGACAAGGGAGAGAAGACTTCGTCAGTCAGAAGTCCGCACGCGGACGAAGCCCAGCGCAGCTCCTTCGAGTCATCTCTCGTCGTTCGGGCGCTCGGTTGGCAGGACAGTCGGCTTGAGAATGCCAACCTCGACCTCGAGGGTCCTCGAGCAGCCGCGGCTACGGACCGACATCGGAGCCCGGCCGACGGGCCGGCCACTCATGTCTGATCCGCTATTGAGCTACAGGTCAAGCTGCGTAGGTTAAGGCATTTATTACCGTGTTCCTCACTCGAAGCTTCCGGTTCCCGTTGTCGTCGAGACGCGTTGCACGTAACCATGTCCCCGTGGCGCCCACTCGAAGAGCCTCATGCTGTCTCGTATAATAATGATTGAAGGGACCGGACAAGCATCAAAACAGAATCGAAGGGGTTCCTGCGGATGACATTCGGCCTGCGTGAATGAGAAGGGCAGCGCATCCGACTCAATTATTCAGAGCAGTTCGTCCGGCGCTGAGTTCGTCGGGCTCTTCGGGGTCTGTTGCTGCTTGATCTCAGGATACAGTGTTATTGTACAGGAGCAGAGGGAGGGGAGGCCGGGCTACGAGAACAGGGAGGATTTCTTCCGTGGCGGGATACCGTTGCGGTCGATGATGCATCATCGTGATACGTCGCGGTCGCTCACCCACACGAGCAGCGTTATCCGCGATATGATGGGCGAGAGGGAGCTGGAAAACGGGGAGACGTTGAAGAGTAACGAAAAGTAGTCGTTTGTTCATTTTCCCCCATCTTGCCGGATTGGCGTGAACGGAGGGAGCGAGAAAAAACTAGAAAAACAGAAAAGCGAACAAGCAAGCGGGTGCTTGGAGGAACGAGTCTGCAAGTTGAGAAACGGGTATATGCGCATAAATTTGCTTTCTCGCGAACCACGGTTCGCTCGGGTTGACTAGGCTTGCTCGTTCCTTCGGTGTGCCCCGCTCCTACGGCGCGCCGTCGCTCACTCCTCCGCTGACTCGACGTCCCGGTGAGCTCCGGTCGTTACCCGCTCCTTGTGGCTCACACGGTCCCCCATGGTTTCTACATCGTTCAGAGATAGATCGAGCAAGCAAGAAACAATCAACACACTGCGGAACTGTTGCTGACGGCAGTGCTCTTTACCAGTCTTCCGCAACCAGATTCAGAGATGGCATTACATGTTCTCGGCTAACGCGACGATTGAGGTTCCGAAGCTTCGGAGAGAGCGAGTACCAGACCAGGGGACCACGCCCCCCGCCCTCCCCTGAAATCGTTCCAGGAGACCATTCAGGGTGGAGGATTCGGGACGCCCAAGGGGAATTTATCCTTGTGTAACAACAACAACGCACCTAAAATGTAACTTTCACGTTTCCAGAGGCGAACGGAGTTCTCCCAGTTAAGATTACGGAATACAGGAGCAATGTGCATGTCGAGGAAGGAGACCGCGCGTATCTTCCCTGCATCAGTCAAGGGCATCCGTCGCCCAAGACGACATGGTACCGGAGCGATAGCTCGGGTAAGATCATTATGCTTAGATGTACACGGCTCTCGAGCTCTGAATTTCGGAGGGCTTTCCGAAGACTCGCAATTTTCGTTGAGATGGCGGATCCGCGCATCCATGATCCGCAAAACAGGTGCTCACCAGCTGCTGGAGCTCATGCTACGTATTCTCGAATACCTGTGTAGATCGATGGAGATATGTTTGTGTATACCTGGCGAGTCCTGCCCTCGTTCTCTCTGTTATCGGTCAGCGCCGTTCTTTCTTCACTGATTGACGCCGAGTTGGATGTTGTCGGCTGCAGGAAGGATCGAGATAAGGAAATGTTATCTCCGCGGAGGGGTCAGAGCTCCATGCATGTAGGAGCGGAAGCTGAAGCAGCCTCGGTCCGAGACGTTCCATATGTTCACCCACATTAGCAATAATAAAAGCGCAAGTACCCGTCGCGTGACTGCTAACAATGAGACGGAGGGGCTCGAGAGGAGGGAGGTTAAACGGCAGCGGCCCTAATATGAGTGACCGTTAAGCTCACCTGGCTCCATCGTGAGCTCGGATTTCCACATTTGATGGCGGCCCCCTCTTTCTCTCTCTCGTGGCTGTCTTAATGCAAGTCGCTCGCTTGTGCTGACGGGGCAATGGCAACCCCACCTTACTTACCTAGGTCCTTCGCATTCGCGCCACCAGGCGAGAACAACGATTGGAACGGTCCGCCGGTCGAGCGCTAATACAGTTCGAGTGTGGTCACGCCGCTTGCGTTGCGGTAACAGCTGTTCCCATCCGCAATAGGTCTTTGGGAGATGACTGTCGTTGACACAAGGGCCCACAGAGGAACACACAGGCGCTCAGAATGAGTGAACTGCAAAAGATCCGGGAGGACGTCGTGACCGTATATCTCTTTGACGTGACCTGGGTGACCGTCCCCGAACGGATCGGCGTCTTCGTCCCAGGGCCATCTGTTCGATCATCTGTTGTTTGCACTCGTAGAGAAATCCAGGCAGAGGAGAAGAGAATTGATGATGACTCATTTATTCTTTCTATAACAGGTTCCCCGAATCCTCTGCTCGCGTCCGATCGGCATCACATTCTCGATGGCCTGATGGTGATCTCGGCCGCGACGCCTGGGGACTCCGGTCGCTATGTCTGCGTTGTGAACAACTCAGCTGGAGAAGAAAGAGCTCAAACAGATTTGTACGTCAGCGTGCCCCTCATTGCCCGAGTTGAGCCCAACATTCAGGTCGTGGACGTTGGGCGCACTGCCAACATGAGTTGCCGAATCAGCGGGCAACCGATTCACAGCGTCGTGTGGACAAAGGATGGTCAACCTCTCAACAAAGGTCCCCGATTCAATTTCCTCTCGAGTGAAGTGCTGCAGGTATTAGAAATATCTCCGGTGCACAGACAGGACCGTGGAATGTACCAGTGTCTGGTGGGAAACTCGAAAGATTCTGCGCAGGGTACGACTCAACTCATTATCGGAGGTGAGTTCACGGATGACATTTCCCTCTCATCAGCTCCATACGAAGAGAAGAGCGGCCAAGTGTAGACGAGCATAGGACGATGGGGTACTCCGACGACGGGGTCGCCACGAGTCCAAATAATGAGACCTGTCAAATGTGTCCCTCTCATATTATCTGGCGGCTTTCGAGTAGCCGAGAGGGCTGGAGCGGCGCCATTGGAGCCCAGCTTCTCCTCCGTGCGATGTGAGGAGAACCTGTTAAAAAGTTGTTAGAGCTCTCATATCAGTAGCGCCGCTACCGGCGGCCACCTACGTGAGTCTAAGGAAGCAGCAGGCAACAAAGGTTGGCAATAAGTGGATCACCCTTGGGAGAAAGGAACACTCGCTAGTGAGTGAGCGAGCGAGTGAGTGAGTGAAGAGCCTGGATGAACAAACAGCGCGGAAAGGGGAGGGCTGAGACTACTACAAGACGGGCGGAGGAGGACGATGAGGAGGTGGGAGGAGGAAAGGAACGAAGAGGAAAAGGAGGCCAGATCTAATTAAGGACGAGGAGTGCTACTCCTGGAGCTGCTACCTTCAAGGAGTCAGCAAGCGTATTGTGTTCTGGTAGACGGCCGCTTCGACCCCCCCCCCTCCCTCTCACGCCCCCCTCCTTTTTCCTGACCACCATCCCGGTTCGCCGCTCGACTGATTTGCTAGTACGACGACGGAGACTGTCGAACAAAAAGGTTCAGTGTCTTCATCCTCGGCAGCCAAGCGTACGAACCAGTGGGCTTTCGGAAGAGCTCGTTAGATCTGAAAGAGAGATGCCTGTTCTTCCTCCTCCCTCCGTCCTCCAACGGCACCTCTGGCCCCTCAGCGTGTTCCCCCTTCCCGGAGATCTCATGCCCTTTTCTAACCTCTCTCGCGCACACCGTCGCCCCATGATTTCCTTGCCTCAGCCACGACGCTGTTCTCCGTAGCCTTCACGACAACGCACTTAAAAACATAATCACTTCGTACACGGAGTAATTCGCTTTTACTTCCTATCCCGTGTTCTGCGCTTGTTCCCCGCCCGAACTACAGACAGAGCGACAAAGCGATGCTGGACAAAGGCATTTCTTGGTCTAGAGGGAGCTTGTTTCAGTCGTCGCTATGTTTTTACTGAATCCAAAATCTCTTGCAGAGGATGCGCCTGTGCTCGAACATGCATTCCGTGAACTCACTCTCAAACCCGGAAGCATGGCGTCGTTGAAGTGCTCCGCGTCCGGAAACCCTCTACCACAAATTACCTGGACCTTGGACAGTCAAGCTGTTCCAGAGGTTTATCACATCCGGATCGGTGAGTTCAGAGCGGTCAGAGGAGCGAGGCCTCCTCTCCGACCAGGGTTCGCTCCTGAGGTATAACCTGGCTTCCGTGAACTTGGTGCTCTGTCTGCATGAGCTACTCTCGGCAGAGATTTCAGCCGCGGGCCGGTCGACCTGGACGCATCTCGATTCGAAACACGATCGGCCGAAATTTGAACAGGCCTATACGGCAGACGTAGATGACGCCGCAGGGGGGTTCTCTCAATGGTTGGGAGTGTTTATCGCGATCACTTCGAGCCGCGCGTCGTTTCCCTCATCGCAACAAAGTCTGCGGAACCATTCGCAGGATTGCCCATCGAGACCTCGTGGAACTTTGGATCTTCTCATATGTGGGACTCGTATCCTGAGGAGTAATCGAGTGTTTCTCTGTTGGGAGGTTCTCTGACGTGTAGCTCTTGTATCCCCGTCTGGGGTGGGCGCGTGCGTCCCGTTCCACCGCGAAACGAGTCCAGCGGTTCAGCGATGTGCCCGCCGAGCTACGCCTGTTCTTCGCTTTAATCAAACTTACATTAGTCTGGGGAAAAGCTCTCAAGAATAATTCCCGCCCAGCTGACCCGTTCGAGACTTGGAGAGCTTGCGCTAAACATTCGCTTTCACGTCAATTTGACTTGATTACCGCCTTCGTCTGAATTCCCTCGGGACTCCCCCTGGAAATTCACGATGTTTCCTTCTCCGCAAGCCGCTGTTCCCCGAAGAAGGAGAAAATGCCCGCTTCCTTTTTACGTGACAAACTTCCGTCCAACAGGTGACTACGTCAGTGGCGAGCGGTCTGTGCACAGCTACGTGAACATCACGGCTGTCCGAGTCGAAGATGGTGGAGTCTACTCCTGCATTGCGAAGAACGGCGTCGGCCGTGCTGAGCATTCTGCGCGTTTGCAGGTTTACGGCAAGCCACACATCCGCACTATGAGTCCCAAGACTGCGTTAGCAGGAGAAGCCGTCAGGATTCATTGCCCCGCTGCGGGCTATCCGCTCAAGAGCATCCACTGGATCAGAGGTGAGAGTAATGTTACTACAATATAATAGTAGCGAGCATCATAAAGTGCTCGCCCGAAGCTTCTGGGAGCTCGTGTCGCCGAGTGAATTTTCTTTTGAATTGTGCGACGTTTCTATTGCCCATCGAGATCGATCATCTGCGAAACGCATAAACCCATGGGAGCGCTTCCCGCCCACCAATCTCTCTCTCCGGCGAACGCGCTCGTGACATTTTCGAAGAAGCATACCTTTTGGAAGACCTTCCTGGGCTTCGGAGAGACGTGTGACCGTGAGAATGGGAACGCCGACGACGCGCAGGACTGATCTAACCTGAGAAGTTGTCGGGTAGTTTTCCCGAGTCGCGCAAAAACTCGGTCGACTGTCTCCCGACGACGATTTTTATCGGTTTCTACGAACCTTTCCTCGCAACGACAGCTGCTACGCTTAAAATCGGTGATGCAATGTATCCGCTGCTACTACCGTTCGAAATGCGCCGGAATCTTGGTGTTCTGTGGGCCAGTGAAACTCCTGCGGACTCCTCCTCGCGGGTTCACCAGCCAGTCAGCTAGGTCGGCTGCTCATCTCCTCATCCTACAGCCAGTGGGCCCAGTTATTAGGGGAACCGAGAGAATGTACAAAGTAGACAAGCGAGGAACTTTTGCGCTGAGCCATTTTTGCTCGGGATCTGTGAGCGCTTCTTCGCCCCTATACCCTGCCTACCCACCTCTCTTGCTGGTGAGCGCCAGCACCGCCGTCGCACCGGTGTGTGTCTATCTGTGAAACCGTACCTTCACTCTCTGTCCGAACCGAGGAACCGACAGAGCTGCATCGTAATAGCTACCTACCTAGAGCGTACGCCCGCTCGCTGGTTTCCTGCTTCCGCGTTCGTCTGCCAGCTTGCCCCGTCGGTGGAGCTTCACAAACGGCAATTTGAACGGAGGAGGGGGCGGAAAAGGAAGGGTTCGGGGCCTCTTCGAATCAGCGAAGTTCTTGAGCAGTCTCTTTCCTATCCTCGTGATTTTCGCTGTCGGTTTCGCTGACGGAGTCGGAAACGATCGACAGACGCAATAATTCATTGAGCGCAGGCTCGACTGTCCACTCATGCGTCGCTTCGCGGAGCGATATTTCGCCCGGTCGAAGTCGGCTGCTCGATTGGACTCTGCGCGCTGGCCGGCGGATTCGCCGAACGAGTTTGTGCTCCTCGAGCTGCTTTCAGATAATATGCTCGTTTTAATCGCTCCTGGTATCTGGCATCGACGCTCTAGAGACGAGCCCTCCTCCGAGCCGCGGAAAGAATAACCAGCAACGGAAGCAGTTAGCGGTGAAACGAGTGACCGCTGGAGCTTTTTCTCTCGGCTCCGGACTCGAAGAAAACTAGCGAGCGAAACGGACGGGCTGCCGGGCGACCTCGCGACGGCTATAGGGCGCGAGGCGACTAGGGACTAGAGCGACGAGTGGCTAAGTCTACCACCGCATTGGCGGGAACGTGAGTTGCTTCCCAAGCTTCTCCCGCACATCCAGCGTCTTTGAGGCGGCCGCCGCCGCCGCCATCGGGAGGAGTGGAGTACGTAGGAGATGGAGCAGTAGCAGCTTCCACTGTTTTCCTCCTTTTCGGCACCCGCGGTGGCGGGCACGACCGGCGGACCGTCGTCGGAAGCGAAAATCCATGCGACCGCACGAACCTCTCAGCGGCGTGCGTCCGTTGAAGTACTCATCAAATTTCTCTAGTCACTTGGTCGCCGTGCTTCTGCTCCCCCGCGGTTTTCCCTATTCTCGCGCTCGTCCTCCGCCTCGTACGTCGCTCCCACAAGCCTTCACCCCGTAAGGACGATCTTCTCCGAAACCTTGATGACGGCCTTCTACAAGGAGAGACGACGACCAAGTTTTCGATTAAATGGTCCTAAACAAGGAACGAAGCTGACCATGAGCGGGCCGTCACTCAGTTCCGGTGTAAAGAAGGGAGGAGGGCTCAGGACTGCATCCCGTGCAGACCAATTCCATTTCCTAAGGAGAACTCCGGGCTATGGTGTCCGTTTCAATTAATCGTGATTCCCTTGTTTTCAGAGAATCGCACTCTCCCCCAAAACCATCGTCAGAAAGTTTTCGAGAACGGAACTTTAGTCATCGCGGACGTGGAACGGCGAACCGACGACGGTCAATATACTTGCGTTGTGACCGGAGAGCACAATGTCGTGGTATCAAAACAACTCAAACTCACAGTGATGAGTAAGTTCAGAAAGGAACAAAGAGAACGGTCCCCGCAAATGTCAGTTGGCGGTCCAGTTCATTCCGTAGCTCCGTAGATCTCTCCATGAGTGATAATTCGTCTTGATATTCCAGTTCCACCGATCGTGAACCCGTTCACGTTTCCTGAGGACCTGACCCAGGGGAAGCGAGCAGGAGCGGCTTGCATCGTCTCGGACGGAGACCTCCCGATTCGCATTAGCTGGTTCAAGGATGGCCAGCCTCTGGCCCCGAGTTTGAAAGCGTCGGTGACTGCGGCCAACGACTACACTTCCTTCTTGTCGTTCACATCGGTAGACCAACTGCACTCCGGTAATTACACGTGTGTTGCAACGAACCCCGCAGCTTCGTCGAACTACACCGCGCCGATGGTCGTCCAGGGTAAGTAGGCCAGCAGGAGCTTGGTTTCCCTTTTCCCACGCTGAATAAAAGGATCTCAATGCGATCCGGAGGCGATCCCCTATCGACTGGTCCCGTCAGAAACGTCTCTCGCTGCTCAACATGATGAGTTCGATCTGAAAACGTCGAGATAGAATGGCTTCCCTCAAGAATCAACGAGATCGAACTCGTGTAACCTTTCGACCCTCCCGGGTGGAACCCACAACGCGACGATTGTGTCGGTGCCGATGAACAGGGCACAACTAGGGAACAATTAAACAACTTTCGAGGAGGGGGGCGGGCGGGGGCGGCGAGCGGACAAGGGAGTCGAGGAGAGGACCTGAAAATAGATACAGAGAGAGGGAAGACGAGCAGATAAATGAAGGGCTGTTTCGCTCCGAAAAGCTCGCAAGGAAGTGAATGAGTACGTAAGTGAGCGAGAAAGGAGCCGCTGTGTTCATAGGAAGAAGGACGAGGAGGGAAGTCGCAAGCGACGAGCTTAAGATTTTGAGCTCGCCATATCAGCCTCGCCCTCCCGTCCCTCGCCGTTCACTCAGCTTGACTGCCTGCTCCCTCGTTCCCCGGTCGCGTTGCCAAGCTGGCTGCGATGGCAATGGCCAACGATGCGGAACAAACTCCCGAATGTTCTCTGAAAAGGAGGAGGGGATCGGGAAATAAAGTGAGGACAACGAAAGGAACACACATTTACACTGCAATGCGCTCGTGCGTCGACTAAAGTCGTCGTCCGCCCCGTTCCCGGCAACATTGCGTCCATCGTCTACCCGACCGTCCCAGTTATGAATTCAGCCTTGGTCGTCGTCTTCGTCGACGATGTTGCCGCCGTCGTCGTGCGCTTCCTCCGCGTCGAGGCAGCCACCATCGTCGAAAACGACGAGGCCGCTAGGTAGGAGCAGCTTGGAGCCAAAAATTTCCAGAGGTGGCCAATCGATTCTGTTCTCCTTGTCCGAGCGGAGATCCCGTGAAGGGCTCCGCCCCCTGTTTGAGGGTTCGGGATTGATGCGAGACGATGCCCCGGATTTATTCACGGATCCCGCGTCGGTAATCGTCCATAAAATGAATTCATTGATCTATCAATTCGATCTCTTCAGTGCCGCCCAAGTGGCTGACGGAGCCACTCGACAGACACGCCATCGTGGGAGAACCTATTGTTTTCGACTGTCAAGCGTCCGGACACCCTCTGCCAAATATCAGATGGAAGAAACAACAAAGTAAGCATTCACTCCTTCCTGACATTCGTCTCCGGTGTGATCTGTCACCGTAACCCACGGTGTGGAGGGGGAAGCCGCTTACGTCGATACTTGTTGCAGAGAGCGACTTCGCCGTGATAATTAGCAACGCCAACATCCAGATACTTGAGAACGGCTCACTGTCAATACGCGAAGTTTCCCGAGAAGATGCGGGACCCTATATGTGCCAGGCGGTCAATGGAGTCGGTCCCGGAATCTCCAAGGTCATCAATCTCGACGTGCATGGTAAGTGAGTGAAAGCCACTTACTAGCCGAACTGACCGGCCGACAAGCACGTTGTTCGCTCGGTGAGCTAGCTAGTGAGTTCGCGTCTGGGATCGCTCCTCCCCGGGATCTAACGCTGGCAAAGTCGGCCGAGCGACCGATCGATCGACTGACGCTCAGGCCGACTGACTGAGCACAGCTCAAGAATACAACCCGACCGGCAGCGCATGAGTGTCAGGACGCGAGGGCTCTCCGAGGTAGCGACGCGACTTCCCTCCATCGGTCAGGATGAGGAGGGGCAAGGAAGGATGAGCCATGCGATTTCAACAAATGTTCTGGCGTGCAAGTCCGAGGAGTCTGATCTGCTCTCTTCCGTGACGATCCCAGGCTCATTCAGATGGGCGGAAGAGCTCGAGTCTCTGCTCGACCTGACCATCGGCATGTTCATTCGTGCCTTCGGAAGTTCGGCTGCAGGTGTCTCGCGTGCAATGGATGAGAGACGGAAGATCGAAAGGAGGAACGAAACGATAGCCGAGGAGAAAGCAAGCGAGGCCGGAGGGCTAGCGTGTTGGGGAGAGACTGGAAAAACAACTCGGCAAGCACAAAGTGACAAGCGATACATCTTCCGTGTTTACAGTGGCCGCCCACTTCGAGAGAAAGTTCCAAGCGCTCACAGTACGTCGAGGCGACAGCTTTCAACTGAGCTGCCGAGCCATTGGGGAGCCGCCATTAGTCGTCACTTGGACTAGGGATCGGCAGCCTTTCAACCCGAACCTGGAACCAAGATACGTAGTTCAAGAACTCAACACGAAGGTGAGACGGTCAACATTCAATCTTGTTGGATCTACCCACCCGATCCGCTTTCAATATGTCAACAAGATGTCACAGAGGACAAGGGGAAGATGCGCTTCAACTCCGCTTCACTCGATTACAGGAGGCGTTCGAATATAAGATACACGTCGGCTCAGCCGATCGGAAAGATTCCTCACTGTTCAGCTGTTACGCAGAGAATGCTTTCGGCAGAGACGACACGAACTTCCAGGTGTGTGATCTCGATAATTACTCCGGGAAGCCGAGGGGATTCTCAGGAAACACTCAATCAGAGCGCTGTAATCACAAGTGAGCATTCTTCCCGAACAGGTTGTCGTTCAAGAAGCTCCAGAGAAGCCCCGGGAGCTCGACATTGCGTCGGTAACCAGCAGATCCGCTACTTTAACTTGGCAACATCCATACAGCGGTAACAGTCCAATCCTACGCTATATCCTGGAATACAAAAAGATCAAAGGTATGTTCCGGGATGTTTGCATCCGCCCAAATCGGTCGACATCAGGGATCTCGCCCCGATATCAGCGGAACAGCAAGCGTGCGTTCGACCCGCCAGGAGTTCCCGTTTAACGGCAGTCGAAACTTTGCAGAGGGCTGGGATCAAGCCCATGTGAGTACAGTCGAGTCAGCTGAACTTCGGGTGACTGTAACCTCTTTGAAGCCGAAGACGGAATACGAGATCAGGCTAAAGGCGGAAAACGCGCTAGGAATGAGCGAAGCCAGCCTGGCGGTCACAGTTACGACTGATGAGGAGGGTGAGCATCCGTCGGGGAATACCTATATTTGGATTCCCGATCCCAGCCTGGAGCGGGGGGGCGAGGAGGAGGGGCACGTGCTAGTAAACACATTGGAGCTCTTTCATTCGTTACGAATTAGTTCGGGGAGGTCCTGGGAAGCTCTTTCATTGCCTGGCGAGTGAACAACTATTCGCAACAATAATAATTAGCCTCGTTTGCGATGAAATGACCTCGGTGCCGTTTGGGCGATGTGCGCGACGCAGCGAGTCGAGTCGCTCCGAGTACGTCTCGGAAGGCGGCCTCGGTGGCCCAGGCGCCTAGGTCGGGCGAAATCGATGCTTTCAGACAGACCTAGAAACTCACTGACTGAGCCTCGCTCGAATGGTAGTGTCTTTTTCCAAACGAGCTACGCCAAATTTAATGGCTTAACCTTCTCACAGCGCCGAGCTCAGTGCCCCGAAACATCAAGATAAGTTCGACGGGATCTTCAAGTCTACATGTTGCTTGGGAGGTGAGTTTTCGAAAATCCCGTCCATCTCAGAGCTCAGCGGTAAAGCTAACGACCGGCAGAAGAAGAAAAAAGTCTAACGATCCGAGCGAAACGGATTCCCACTTGAGAATCATTGAATCAATCTCATTCTTCCGATCACTCACTCACTCGTTTTCCCTCTCCCGCCTTCTCTCCTTATCTAGGCACCTGAGGGCACCGATGAAGGGGCAGCGAGTGTCCAAGGCTACTACGTCGGGTACAAAATTGCCGACAAGAGCGAGTCGTTCTCTTACAAAACTCTAGACGTTTCCGAAATTCCTCAAGGTCAACAATTGGAAACCAACATCAGAGAACTCAAGAAAAGCACAAAATACGTTGTAGTCGTTCAAGCGTTCAACAGCAAAGGAGCCGGACCCGTCTCTGATGAAGTCATTTCTCAAACTCTCGAAATAGGTAATGAAACGAAGAGAAGTGAACGCGCCGGTCGTTCGATCGCCCTCGTCTGACGGACGGCCGGACGGACCGACAGACCGATCGGCAATCCGTCCGTCTGTACGCCTGTCGGCGAGCTGGACTTCGGCCGCTTCGATCCGACAGTGTTCTCGGTAGCCGAAGATCTCGAGATCGTTTCATCCGATGTAAATGGTTCGCTTCCTCCATTAATACAGATCCCCCTCCGGCGGCGAACCTCAAACTAGTCTCTTCGACCTCGTCGTCGGTGCACCTTGCGTGGAATATTGCAAGGGAGCAACCTATTAACGGTACGTAAATTCGATCCTTGCTCTGAGAAGAAACGTGGGGTAGGAGCACGCAACTACACCGGTGACCCCGTGTTAACGTCTAGGGCCGCTTTATTGCTCACCGCAATTGTACTCAATCCATTGATCGGTAGAGGGCTGGAGTCAATAGTCCATTTATGTGTGCGCGTCCCGAAGCATGTTGAGTGTTCGGCTGAGGATGCCGTATACGAGCCGTCCCGTCCGGAGCGACCCATTTCAATGCATGGAGACGAACTTCACGAGACCAGTCGCTGGAATCGATGTCGTTCCCGCGTTGGAATACAGAGCGACCAAAGGGCAGAGAATTCCTCCGATGTCCCTCAAACTCACCAACCCGAAAATGCTGGGTGCATGAATTTATGGACTGGAAATATCGCGGCCTGAGTTTTCTTCAGACTGAAGATAAATGGATGATGGTACCGTAGCCCGCCTTCGGGAGGAATTGCCGCGGCGCCTCCTTGCAAGTATCTAGCGGATCGGAAATCAACCTTCTGGTGGCGGGATTCATTTTTGGTTCAAGTTCCACGTCTCATTTGCGACCCACCTTCGAGGACAGGAGTTCGTGACCGATATTCGATTCCTTTCATCCCTCAACGTACCCAATGAAGCGCAGGCTGGGCTCAGTGTGCTTCCTTTATATCCATGATTCCTCCAATCGTAGGTTTGTGCTATGGTGAATCTTGCCTTCCAGACGGGCACATCCTTTACCAGGTTCCGTTGGCAGTGTCCGTCTGCTCTATGATTCCCGTGAGAATCATCTATATATGTATGCCCAATCCAGAGTGACATCGGACGCTTCTCCATTTCACCCACGCGAAGGTTCACCGCCCTGTAAAGTCTAGACCTGCTGGCGGATGTCGTACTCTAATCGATTCTCGTCAGAGCGAGTCGTCAGCCGGCTGAGGGCTCCGAATTTCGGTGCCAGAAGGACGGGGATCCGTGGTTCTGCCCCGTGATCGAGCTTATAGACGTTTCCACGTCTGTATGGCTCACCTGCAATCCATTCCATCTGATAAGAAACAGCTCGCTTCGAGAGCGAAGGGAGTCGGTCTGACGTCTGGCTTCCACCTAATCACTCTATCGCTTGTTCTCCAGGCTACATCGTTTTCTATCGTGATACAAGCGCTACAGGGCTCTGGCAAGAAAATGCTCTCCCAGCCGAAAAGTCTTCCCATGTCGTAAGGAATTTATCCTGTGGTAGAGCCTACACGTTCTACATTTTGGCCCACAACGGGGCCGGCAAAGGACCTCACAGTAATCACGTTCAGGCGAAAACAGAAGGATCAAGTGAGTGAGCTGTATGAGGAAGACGGGAAACGCCATTGGCTCAGCCTCTGGCTGCGCTGAAGAGTCAGACCTGCCGCCGCAAGCCCAGCCCGTCTGGTGGCGTACCGGAGGTGGCAGCGCCGCGAAGATGCTACGGCGGCGGGCTCAAGGAAGAATATCATGAAGGCTGTCGTTACCATTCGTTTTCTTCTCGACTTTTAGCACCCGAGGCGCCCGCCACGACTCGAGAGTTCCTCTCATCGAACACGACCTGCGTCTCGGTTGATCTTGCGTCGTGGAAATCCGGTGGATGCACCATTTCAACGTTCGTTCTGCATTATCGTTTGGACGGAGACTCCGATTGGAGCAGTCCCGGCTCCAGGTAAGTGTCCGCCGAATCTCTCGCTCATCACAGACGCTCAGGCTTCGGCGGGCATTCGGGAGATTGAAACCCGAGTTTCGAGCGTCTATCGCTCTGTTTGCGACCTGTCCCACCGATCGCTCGACTGGTGGGATCGTAGGCTAGTCAGCTGGGGCTTGTTCTGCGGGCCTCGCTCGCTGAGTAACTCGTGCCTTCGTCGTTAATTCATTTGTCCGCCTGACGGAACACGAATCAATAAATCCGACCCTAATACACGACGTCGACGTTTGTTTGTTGTCTGCCTTTTGGCTGACTGACTGACTGGTTGACGCCGGCATGTGTTACGAACTGGAAACGTTGTTAGAGCTAGGGAGGGAAGGAAAGTTAGTCAGCGAAGGTCCCTCTCGGAGCCTGGAATTACGTTGCGGCTAGCCAGCACGTAGTAAACTCGCTCGCGTCAGAGCGTCGTCCGACTTAGACTGGGTACCGGAGCTTCCGTCAGAGTGTCTCCTTCTCGTTGCCGTACAGAGATGGGAACCTACCGAGCTTCGATTTTCCCAAACGGTATGCTATGGAATTCGAGTAAGCTGTAAAGTTGATCTCAGTTCGAGCCGACCGACCGGGAGTTTACGCAATCGAGTGAATTGACTGCGGCTGGAAATATAACCCCGAGGAAAGCCGACAGGCTCAACTTTGTGACCTCGGCGGGAATTCGCGCACCCTGAACCGATGTACACATAGCTCGATCCTCCTATGCTCGGTTCCCTTCGCGCTCGCTCACAAACTCAGACGTAAATTCCGATTTCGCTTTCTTACTGCGAACGCTCCTAAAAACAAAAGCTTCGTAAAGGTCAAGGAAATACGAGACATCGACGCTGAAATCGAGCGACCGAGTGACTGAGACGAATCGATTGTTAGCCGAACCAAGCAAGCAAGCCAGTCAGCCGACAACTAGCCAGCCGACGACAAGCCGACCAGCCAGTCAGAGGAGCAAGAGCGGGCGGAGTAAAAAAAAGGAACCGAGGACCAAGTAAAACAGAGAGAGAGAGAGAGAGAGAGAGACTGTAGGTCGGGATAGGCCTCGAGGAGGAAAACACAGATCGACGCAGGCACACACTCTTTCCCTCCGAAGAGAATCGAACGAACTCAACTTTATGAAGCGCAAAATGACCAACGACGTCGTTGAGGAAATCGACGGAGCCAAATCCTTTTACTTACAGCTTCTCTTTTCTTCTCTCACTCGTCGTCCACTCCTTCACTTTTCTCTGCTTTCGCTGCGGCTGCTTCTCCAGGCCACGCTCTCCTTCCTTTGCTAGCTAGCCAGCTAGCTGGGGCGGCAGCGTTTCCTCTGCGTTATTTCTCCTTGAGTTTTCCCTCGGCTGGCCGCTGATCTCCCTTTTCCGATTCCGGAATTTCGTCCCCTGTTCTCCCGGTGGGGGGGGGGCAGGCTTTTCAGAAGCCTCTCGTTCGAGAGCAGGAAAACGCGCGATCCCCTCATTCATACACTGTGAACCCCAGCCAGCGATCGACCACCACGCTTGTTTCTCTTTCCTCTCGGCCCTTCCATTCACTCTTCTTCATTCTTCCGTCCGCCTCTCCAATTCATCTACATATCTGACTTCCCGCAAGCGTCCCCAACCGCGGTCGGAATTAGGCGAGTCGATCATGGTTCGCTCCGCTCGGGGTCACGTTGCCGCTGCATCAGTTCTCCTTTTCCTTCTTTGGTATCCTTTAAACTAGGTACAGGATACGTAATCTGATAGTCTCGATAATCGTGAACTCTATCCCCCATAGGGCGTTCGATGCGTCGGTCAATTCGATTCAGCAAACTGTCGCGATTTGCGACCTGGTCCCGGCGACCTGGTACACGTTGTCGGTGGCTGCGCACAGCGAAGCGGGGGAGACCGAAACCGAATACCCGTTCTCGACGCTCACCCTCGCAGGAGGTAAGTTCAAGCTCGCAAGCACGTCCGGCGACCACTCAATAGTGGAGAGGCAGATCGTGATGAAGCAAGTCGTTGCTGTGACTGTGAGGCCTGATTTTCACTCGAGGAGAAAATCCAAAAGCCCTGCCGTCTTAGACCTCCTCCAGAGAAGTAAGTCTTGAGAACTGCTCTGCCGAATGTGTGTCTCAGTGTCGCCGTGGTGACTTGCTCCATTGCGTATAATGGTCGCATTGCGTGCCGACCTCACATTTCAAATAATAGAGGTCGTATGACCAGCACGGATCATGTAATGTACATACATATCCCATCCGGCTCGGCCCGACTGAGACAGTGCAACGTAAAACGATCGCCTACGACTTGGGCTGGAGTCCGCCGTGCCAAGTAATTTGCCGGGAAGTGGCCCGCATATAAGGCGGATGGACATTGTGGTGTCTACATTTTCACTTTTCCGCCTAGTAGAACAATCTCTGTGTGCGGACAAGCTACTCTCATAATTACTATATGATGATGACAGAAACGAGAAGATCAGGCGAAAACGTCAGAGAAGAGCGCAAGAATGGATGCGGTTCTCTGATGTCTTTGCGTGACACCCAATCATTCTGAGCTGGGCTTCCCCTGCTCCATCTTTTCTAAGTAGGTAGGCAGTCGTCTGACGTGGGGAGTCGTACGAACAGAGTGACTGATTAGCAAGGCTATGTTGCAGGCACGATTCCGCCGCCTCATTCAACAAGAGATCGTTCTCCACCGTACGGATCTGTTACACCTTTAGTTGTTCCATTTATTGTCAGTTTACTGGTGGTTGTTTCGGCGGCTATCGGAGCCTGTTTCTGGTTCGGGAGGATGAGAAACAGCCGCGAGCCCCATTCGAGGGATCAAGGTAGGTGCAACCACACATCTAAAAGTACATACATACGTATGAATGTCCGTACATGCGCGTCGGAGCGCTCCGAGGCGGAACCGAGCGACCCATGCGAAACGGTCGATCACGTGAATGTTATGCTCACGACGGCGACAACGAAGAAGAATGAGAATACCAATAAGAGCGGTGGTTTATTTGCCGTTCAAACGTTTCAGGCGACAACTCAAAGTGTTTGCAACACTGCAACCAGGACACGCTCCCTATGGCGGTCTGGGAGAAGATGGAGGCGAACAAACACGCATCCTTGCAATACATGTCGTCTCCGTGCCACGGAACGATCCGCAGACCCCCTGGCGGGGTCGGCGAACGCGGATTCTACGGCGGGGACACCATTCAGGGAAGCATAGCGGGAATTCCTCGAGAATGGCGTGGTCCCGGAGACGAACACACGTACGACGTTCCTTTTCACAGACAACACGCGACTCACCATCTGGCGAATAGCGGCGTTGTCGTGGGGGGAGGCGTCGGCGGCGGTGGACAATACCAGATGGCGGCTAATCAAACTAGTCAGCTCAACCATGTCTGTGACGCAGGTATGCAGGGAGAATTCAATGCGATCAACAATTCGCCCGAGCCCTGACGTTTATCACGCAAAACATTGACCGTATTAACCCGATTCCGCTCGCTCCGCCGAATCCCAGACGATGCTCCCATTTGCCTAATCATTCGAAGCTCCGGCCGGGTCTCGCTCTATGCTGGGAGCTCAGAACTGGTCGGAGGCGTACTCATGATTACGTGTTCGATGCTGAGAGTCCAGGGTTTCCTGATCCCTCAGGTGAAGTTGTCTTGATTGGAGCCAGCGGTGAGGAGCTCCGACATCCAGCTTACCTCTACTCGAAACCGAAAAGGAAAGGCCCCGGCGGAGGCACCTGGGGATCTCCTTCGATGGGAGGTTCACTTCTAATGGGAGCCTCGGAAGGGGGTTCACCGTCCCAGACTAGCCCCAGCTCTTCGCCTTACCACGAGACCCGTCGGGAAACTCTCTCCAGAAGGTGAACTTTTGATCCGAGCTTGCCAAGGTCACTAGGCGAGCTTCTATCGCGACGATTGCGCAATACTTGAGATTTTTCACTGAATCTCAGCATTAACGCTGCAAGCTTCCTTGGCTTTCGACAGGTTCTCATCGGAAATGTTGGATTTGGATGAAACATCGTGATCTTCGGGAGAAGTACCTTAATTATAGTGTGTTTCACTACTGTACATATACATGAGGCTTTTAAGGTACGACCGGGAATTGCTAATAGAGAACGAGGATTATTATTTGCCATCACTTTGAACGAAAGTTCCGATTTAAATAATGGTGGTGCGCCTGCAGTTATGGAGAGGAAGGTCGAATTTATTCGGTTCTTTTATTCGGGTCGTGAGGGGCGAGATTTGAATGCTGCGAGAGAGCGGAGATCCGTTGGTAAGAGAGTCTGGGCTCCTATTTATACAGAGGATGAGGGAAAAATATTGTTTGTACCTGAGCGCCGTTTGATCGTTGGGACATCGATGGTTTCCGCGACACAAACATCTCCATCGGGGAACGTGCGTTTCAAAGCGTGCTCGAATGTTTGTTGATAGGGTCGATTGATGACAAATGAATATCCTATTGAGGAATTGATTGATTGATTGATTGATGGATGCATAAAATGATTGGTCAATCGATCAACGGGTTGAATATGATCGACTACGTAGTGATTAGTCGATTGATCGCCCGACAGCCAGATTGTCCGAGAAGGTCGGTGGACAACAAATACTCCGACAGAAAAACCCAGCGGAGGCGCTGCGAGAGTGTTACTAGGTGCGCGTATTCGAAGTGAAAATAAAAGGAACGTCTTTTCTTAAGAAAAAATGTCTCACAACTATGCCAAGTGTTTTTATTCTTCAATTATCCCCACATCTCTCACGAATCACGCTCATGGGTGACTCGAGTCGACGAGACGGCGCCGGCAGATTAGCGTGATTCAATCCCCAGCTCGTTCCCAGCTGTTCGTTTGCCGTTAGCAGTCGCCACAAGCAGGTCGTCAGTCAAATTCACGTTTACGCATGCGTTTCTCTCATCTGATAAGACGGACACGGATCGCGGAGACTGACAAGTCGACAGCGGGCGTGAGCGGGGGAGCGAATGCCACTTTGGCAGCAGCCCCAACGAAAACGGTGGGAGGAAGGGGGTCGGATACACTGACTGACTGACTGGCTGGCTGACTGACTTAGAGGGACTGCACATAACCATTATCGTAAAGGCACCGTAGTGTTCTATAATCATCTCTCCTTTGCTCACACAGACTCTCTCGTGCGCACTTATCACCACTGCGGAGACCTTGGCTCGCAAACGAGCCGTTTCTGGGGCCGCCGCAAAGCCGAGCTTGGTAGACTTACTCGCTCCCCCGCGCACTCGCGCATTGGTTTGGCTGACTGGCAAGCAAGTACTCTGACGGACCGAGACCCGCCGGCAAGCAGGCGGGCGCGCAGGCGAGCGGAGAGTCGCTCGCTCGTCCCACTCACTTGCTTACTGGAGGCATGATAACAACTTTCGTATCTGGACGCCAGGCCAGTGAGCGACCGAGCAACCAGCCAGCCAACTTCAGCGACCAAGCGAGCAGAGCCGGCAGGCAGGCAGACTGGGAAGCAGGCGAAGCGACGGCGGGAAAACGAGCGGACGGCCGGTTTGCTCGTAGCACCCTTCAGCGAGGACGACGCCTGCGGCTGAACGGACGACAAGGAGACGCCTGACGAATGGTCTCGCTCGTTCAGTCGGCTTGTTCCCTTGCGGCGTTCACTGACCAGGCCTCACACAGACAGACGAACAAAAAAAAACACCAGCCCACAAACAAGCGGCAGACCGATCTACGGAGTTCACGGAAAGACGTGCTTCAACGATATTCGCGGAGGAGCTTTTGCAGCGCCGCGCCGGTGAGGATCCCCGGAAAATTGCGCCGAATCCGCAAAAGACGTCGTTAAGACTCCGAGCACTAACTGTAGCAGCAACGGGTCCTGCGAAAGAGGGGGCAGTCTCCTCCATCCGATCATCCGCGGAGGTTCGAAGAGCCTTCGCTTCCCTTTTTGGTGGAGAGCTCAAGTGTCCACCGGTCTCTGCTCGATGCAGTGACTTCGGCCGACCTGTCCGGATTCGTGCATCCTCGACGTTCATCACTAATTTGATCTGTCTTAGGATCATTTGGCTCTACAGCTACATAGATTCCATGCCCGGACCTGTTTAGATCCTCTCGTACGATTAGATCGAGTGGGAAGGCTCTTCTCCCCCGCCGCCGTCTTCTTCGCCCGCTCCCAGCGAATCATGGGACAGGAAGAGAGGTGAGTCGTCATTACCTTCTACCATTGACTGAAGCCTCCGCGGGAAGGTAAGCCTTGGACGGCCGCTTCATGCGCCATGCTCGTCCGGTGAGCGATTCGGGCACAGCTATCGATGTCGAGGGTCGGAGGGTCGAGCAATCGGGAGCACGCGCGCGCTCGATTCTCCCGACACCGGCCACGTATACGCCTGATCCCGTCATGGGACACGGTGTTGCTCATCGCAGTGATTTTAATGACGGCGGCTCGCCGGAACAATAACAATATCCGGTGAATTGGTCGAGGAGCCGATGAATCAAAGATAGGCCAGGATGACGATACGCTCACGCTCGATAGGGACGAGCAACGACGCCGGTGATAATACGATCTCCGCTGGGAGAACTCCGAGGATTCCCAGAGGAGCTGACGAAGTTCAAGTTTCCGCTTCATGGTAAAACAAACAGAGCTCTGGGGCTGAGAAAGATCATTATGTTGGAAGAAAAAAATAAGTCTCAGCAAGCTCGCGGCAGACCATCGACAGACAACAAGCTAGGGTACAAACCGACGGAGGCAAGATGCATGAGGAAAGCTGCAACGACGCTCAGGACGCCTGCGATGACGCAGGAGTTGAAGTTAAAATCAAATTAGCTTTGTTTGGTGACTTCGACTCCATACACTAACAACAACGGCGGCGGCGGCGGCGACGCCACGACAAGGAGAGCCCAGACAGCACCAATAACGGCGGCAGGAGCGGCGGGCAGAGGCAGCGTCGCGCTCGCAACACGCTTGCAAATCATCGTTGGCCCGTTGCTCCCGCCGCCGAGGCCCGTCGAGGGAACGAACGAAGAAAAATCGTACTTATTAGTTTACGGGAGGAAAGGGCAAAAGATGACATGATGCTCGTGCGTCGACGACGACGACGACTGTCTCTCGCAGTTGTTGCTGCTATTCCTTCTCAACAAGTATTCTCGTGGCTATTCAATTCAGATCCCCTCATGCTTATGTACGCAGTCCGTGCAAAGGCGGCTTGGTCGAATCGCGAGTTTCCTAGCGACAGGATGTCTGTCTGAGAAATGTCTGCATCGTTGGACTCCGCGCCGACTGTGACGGAGTAAAAGATGTCACTCGTGAGCGTTCAGGAGTAATGGACCTTACGTCTTCCCAACGATCTCTCGACGGAGAAGCAACACCGAACGTTGATATGCCAACAACCTGAGTTTTTCTGTCCGTCAAGCGGAGGAAATTGCGTTTGAATTGAGTCGTCTCTTTTCTTCGCTCCTCTCCTTCGGACGCCTATCTACCGGTCATTCTGTATTCTTGCAGTAAATCCGAAAGCAGCGAGCGAAGAACAGGCTTCCTGTTTCGTGTTGGATTTTCTTTTCCAAAGGAAATAAATGTGATGCGCTCGAGTAGCCGCGGCGGCGGTCGGGCAAGCCAGCCAGCTACCGGGCAAGCGAACGGGTGGTCGAACGGCCGAGAAACGGGAGAAGGGGCAAGCGAGCGGTCCGCGGGACGCAACCAGCCCGGCTGGCGGACAGGCACAACTGGTTAGCCTCTTTTGCCTCCGATCTCAGTCCGTTCGTCTGTCTCTGAGCTTTGGATGAACCTCGGGGATTGAGCCCCGGGAAAGGGCCGATGGGGAGCCAGAGGGATACCAAAAATAGAGGGGGAGCAGCCAGTGCTGGCCAGGGAGTAGGCGGATGGAGTAAAAAGACCGCCAGCCAGCCAGCTAGCGAAATGTATTGCTACGGACAGCTTCAGATAAAGTCGAAAGCGGCGGAACCGGAAACGGCCAAATGGGAATGACTCGATCGTTGGCGAGGCCTCCGCCTCCGTTCCCCTTGTCCCATCCCCCTGGAATCATTCCGTTCGCTTCCCCCGCCCTCCCTGGTACCAGCAGGCAAATAGACCAGCCCGTCGGGCTGCCCGACGGGCGGGCGGGTGAGCGACCGGGCGCCCCGACGGCTCACTGGTTGGTTAAGCGGATAGGTGAAGCCGTCCGGCCGGGGTGGAGGACGCGAGGGCTCAAGCGATTCCGGCTGTACCTCAAGAATGATGTCGCGATGCCTCTACGGCACCGCCGCCGTCGCCGTCATTGACCGACTCCTTAAGGTCGAGAGAGTAGCTCATGTCAAACACAGCGATCCAGCCGTTGGACGTCGGTATGTCTTCCTTTGAACAAGAATCATTTCCGAAACGGCCTTCGAGAACGGCGCGCTGTGTGTCGTATGAGATTGCTCGGTCTATTGAACAATAACACATAGATGCATCCGACGGAACAGGGAGAGAGGGAAGGGCGACTCTCCCTGTCTTTTCCCGATGGCACGTTCGATTCGTGGACGAGGTTTTCCCTCGAACTCCCTCGGGGCCTCCTCGGGATTCCTCGGACTCCCTTGGAATTTCCTCGGAGGCCATCTGGAACATTTTTCCCCACGGACCCTGTGTCCGCCGCAATCCGATGTCGATATGGATCTACGGAGGGCTTAATAGAGCATCGGTTCAAGCGGAACCTCTCATGAATAGGAACGTTCAGACGCGTTCTGAGAAGGAGCCGTGTCATCGTTGTCGTGTCCCGTTCCCCTCTCGTCGATCGTTCTACCCCTCTGTGAGGTCACGGCAGAGAGTCATACGGAGAGTTTTTCGGTAAGGATTCGTCTCCGTCGGTTGATCGGTCGGTCGCTCTCGATCGAGAGTTCCTGTCTCCATTCCTTTTTCACGTCACCCGACGCGCACCTGTCAACTGCATGCGGGCATCCAGCTCGACCGTCAAAATATATGTCCTTAAGGAATATCACTCGGGTTTCTGATATTGTTTTAGTGCTGACTGGCTGCCAGACAGCCCGCTTGCCCACTGGCCAGCAGGCCGTTTGACTGGTTTGATGG